CACTTTATTACGTCGAAAGCGAGCAAACTTCTCGCTTTTTCGCTAACAAAAACAGACAAGCTTGAAGTAATGACAGTATGAAAGAAATGAGAAATTAAAAATAAATCGCTAAGCAATGTCGTTGTTGTAGGGCAAAAAAAATAAAGAAAGAAAGAAAAAATTAAACGACAAAGCTTGAGGATAGAAAGCAAGCAGCAGAGCTTTAAATAGAATTTGAAGAAAAAATACTGAAGGGAACGACAAAGGAAGGACAAATAATTTTATTTCCATTCTGGTATAAAAATCCAAAAATAACTTTTAACGACCGAAAAAGTTTTCTTTTCTTATTCTTACATGCTCTTTTCAAGCTAAAAAATCAACAGCAGTTGCTACAAGGTGTACAACGCGCAGTCATCAACAAATTATTCAACGCCTTATTTCTATGAACTAAACATTGAATTTTATCACTTTGCGAAATGCAATTAAACAACGATGAAGTGATAAAAATAGATTTCTTTTTCCGTCCCTCTCACACTATTTTTGTTGACATTTCTCAACGAATTGCGAGCTTAATTTTAATCGCATATCTCAAACAGGATTTCTTTTAACATCATACGTGTCGATTGAGATTGTGAAATTAAAATAACTCGCTGTTTCTGGTGATATTGTCAGAGATAGAGAAAGAGAGACGCGCGCACAGCTGTGTGGGTTCAAATTGCTGTCTTTTTTTTTTAAGTTTGTCATGTTTGCACATTTTATTTTATTTATTTATTTTTTGTTGTCATTGCATTTGAAGTCAGTCAAGTGCAACATCGAGAAAGCGACGACTTGATGGCTGCAACAAGGCGGTGGTGTCGATAGTTTCAGATTATTTTTGGCATAGTTTGTTGTAACAGTTAAACTCTTCATGTGATTTTCTATTTGATTGTCTTCTTCTTCGTTTCGTATCTTAAGAGACAAATAAATGAATGAATAATAAATAAATACAAATACTTAAACGGACAATTACATCTCTTTTTGTTTATTTTTCAATGACCTCACTTTTAGTCTGACATTAGACATCTTTAACTCTCTAAAGCAAGTTGAAAAACTGGATGAGAACGAAAGCCGAAAGTCCCATTTTTATCAGTCGAAAATTTAAGTTTAGAAAATGAGATCAAACTATAAATAATCAGCAAAAATTTTCCATTTTTGTGACAAAAATCTACGACGAATTCACGTCCTAAAAGAAATGATTCATTTCAATTCCGTTTTTTTAAATTGCGGAAATTGACGAGACAGAAAACATAAGTTTCTTGCTTGTTGAGCTGATGATCATCTACAAAAGTAAATTCTTTCCCCATAAACATCATCATAGATGTATAAATATACGAATATGTATGAATGTACAAGTTGTAGGATATATTTTTGTAAGCACTCATTTAACTCGATCTTTGAAATGAAAATTGGGAAAAGCTAAAAATAACGAAACGAAAATGCAGATGGCGTGGTCGTGGATATTTTTAGATTTCCCTTTCAGCCTTTCCCTCTCGAATTCATAACAAGAGAATTATAAAAAGAAAAGAGTTTTCTGTGTTTAAATATAAATTTAAGTTAGTAAAAAAGCATTTGTTGTATTTTATTTAGCAGCATTTCCCGAAAGCTTTCCTGCTGCTCAGTTTTGTTTTGTGCTGTGTTGCTTTCTTCTTTTCTGGTTTTAGATTTTCTCTGATCATTTTAAAAATAGCTGTTGTCGAGGAATCTGTTAGACTGCTATTTTTTCCTAAACAAAAATAAAACTTCAATTAGTTTCCTATCAGCAGCAACATTTACATCTTGAAAATTTTTGGACGTTGAGTTTTAAGAGGCCGATAAAACAGAAATATTTATTTAATGGAATGAGAGACGAATTTATGTTTGATAGCGTTGAAAAATGTTTCGAAATGTTTGTCGCCTGGAAAGATATAGTTTTGGATTTATTATAGAAAGATAAAAATAGAAAACCAATCAGCGAATTTCATTGAAAAGGGCGTAAATAAATATTTTGGACTTTTGTATTCGAAATTTTTGTGTTCCCATTCTAGGAAAATTCAATAATTGAAATCGGAAACTTTTCATTCTTTTTCTATTTTTATAATCTGCTGAATGTCGAACGCGAGTCATTTATTGTTTGAATAAAATTAACTGATGATATCGTATTTCGATGTTACTTAAAATAGATTCCGCAGACCGCAATTTTCTATTATAAAAATTGCTTCTAACACACACAAGCCAATAGTTGCACATGCAAATTGCTTCTTAAATATATTATTATTAGATACACAATGACATAAAATTCAATGCAATGTAAACGCGACATTGAGTCAGAAATTCTACTCTGCTGTTGTTGTCAACTAAAAATACTCATTATATATAATTTTTTATTAAACCGAGAGAATGTTATTTAGTTTGAGATTGATCTTTGAGCTCGACAAATGCTGATGACATTAAATGCATGCATGCATGCACCAGATTTACAATGGAAAATATTTCGTTCGAATAATGTTGAAAGAGTAAATGAGAACGTTTAAAAAGACTTTTCCATGTTTCGCAGTGCATGTGAAAATGTTCATCTTGGTTGTTCCTACTTACATATGGCGTAGTGGATGCATTTAAACAACAAATAATCCACTCACATCTGATGAGTTTACTAAAAATAGATTTGAATCTGAAGCAGTGCTTGAAATATGTTGTGTAAGCGTTAAAATCTTCACACGGTTTTTGTAAAACGAGAGCGAGTTTATTAATTGACCCCCGTGGCTTAATTCTTTTTTCTGTTCATGACGACGAAACTTGACATTTAAACCTGATACGATCATCAAAAAGGATTTGCGTCATTGCACATGCAAACAACGCATTTATTTTGTGATTGTTTAAAATAAATATCACCGACGCTTAAAGATGTATCGAATTTCAAAATAAACAATTTATTTAAATACATCTCAATGTCTGTTTTTTTATTCCATTTTAGAGATGGCTCGTGGCTCAATAGGACGTGATCGAATACTTTCTGGTGTCGTCGGTTTATCAACGCATCAACAACCACCAACCAGCGCTCATCAGGAAGATCTTAACAATGAATTACTTGCCGTGAGTTTAATATTATTCATAAATTTCTTACAATGTATAAAGTTCATCAACACGAAGTTTCAAACAACTATCATCATTGTCTGTGAATTTCAAGTAACACCTGTCGGTGTCGTTGATTCGATTGCCTTCAATGTTTCGACCCTTTTTCAGCGCTTTCTAAATTTGGTAGACCAACAGGAAGAATAAAAAATCATAACTTAAATGATTTATGGCTAAAGGAATTGAATTTTCTGTTTTTCAAATTGTGCTTAATCCAGAACAGAAATAGTCAAATCGCTGTGAAATGTTGAACAAGGCAATAAAGCTTAGTAAGGGGCTTTGTCATGTCAACCAAACAAAAAGCCGTCGATTGTATTGATTTTAATGCTATGGCATATTTAGTCGCTTCAAGAAAGTTTCATGTCAGCCATCAACTTGAACTTGATCATTGAAAAGGCGACCACCAGATATCCGTGCGTGTGTGTATGAGATTGTGACGGAAAATAAATCTTTTTTCTCATGCGCTTATTGGAATCGTCAAGGACGCGACTGCTGCGTCTTACCACTTGACATTTGATACAGAAAGCGAAGATTAAAATCTAATGATTAAGCCATTAAGATTTGGGGAAATGGTTTGTGTTTCACATTAATTTTCCCCTTTCGTTGCTTAATATCGTGAATGAAAAATTACGACTCAATGGCAGTGTCAACATAAATGTGTGGGAAAATGAGAAAATTTTCTCATCTGGTGGTGCGGGAATGAATAAGAAAATGAAGAAAAAAAAATGTCAGAAAGTTAAAATAATAAAACAATTTTAATTTTATTTTATTCGGAAAATGAGTCAGAAGTTTTCCCGCTTAGGTTTTCCCAGAATTTTTTAATTAGAAAAAAACTCATAGGTTTGAGATGAGATTTTAATGGGTTCGTGGCGTCTGATTGATTGTTGGCATAACATTTACATTTGACCGTGAAATTATTTGCGGAAAATTTACTTTAAATTTGTTTATAAAATTATATTTCTTCTCAAACAAATTTTATGTTCTTCTATTTCCTCTTTTCTTGAAACAGCTTCGACGAGAGCAAGAACTTCAACAAGAAAAACTTTGGCGTGACTTTCAAGAACAAAAAGCAGAGCTGGAGCTTCAACATAGAATGCAAATAGAAAGCAAACTTCAGGTGAGATTTCTATCGTAACATGTTTTTGGTTGTTATTTTTGCTTTTCCTTGTTTTAAATCTAAATCATTTGTATTATCCTTTTATCTTTTGTTTTGAGGGCTCAAATGAGTTTAAAAAGATTACTTTTGAAGCAGAAAATGAAAATTAGGGTTAAGATCAGAGTTAGATTAAGATGATCTTCAAATATTTAATCTTATCCTGTTTTGACATCAAATTTTGATCCCAAAATTTAAAAATTTTTCAAGAGAATTTTTTTGACGATTCATTTAAAGTGAAAGTGGGAGGTTTTACATCTTCATTGTCTTTTTGCTTTCTGTGCTTTTTATTTTTGTTTCTTTGGTTTGGTTTTCGTTTCTGTCATCGACATTATTTCCTTTGTTATCCAAACGAATTCAATTCATAGTTTGCGGCAAATGGCGTATTCCAGGAATTGCAATTGCAACGCATTGCTGCGGAACAGAAAAGTTTGGAAGAGCAACAAAGACGTGAACGAGAGGCAGCAGCAGCGGCTGCTCTTCGAAGGAACAACGATCGTCATGAATGCAATGCAAATGCTAGTCCCGATGTAAAACAAACGTTAAAGGTAAATATTTGATTGACGATGACATTTTCTTCGTTTTCCTTTTATTGACTTCTGTCTCTAATTTGTTCCAATTGCAGTCATTTTTGATTCAAAAGAAAATTGAGAAAGAGAAAGGTCAAAACTCGACATGGAATAGAAATTTGTAAGTAAAACTTATTAATAAAAAATCAATAATTTAAATTTTTTTCTTCCACATAACAGAGGCGTAGTTAAAAGCTCATCTGGAGAATCTTTGCCAGCTGGTGCCAGTGCTGCAAGTTCCCATCCGTACAAAATTCCCCAACCACCGTCCGCAATCGTCAAATACGATTCCGATTTTCCACTTCGGAAAACAGGTAAAGAAATCGAAAAAGCTTCTTTTGAACAATTTTACTATTTGTTTGTGTGTGCGTGTGTGTTTGAATATGTTTAATGAAATTAACATAATTAAAGTTTTGTTTTAAAATTTACCAAAAAGCATGCCAAAAATTAAATTTATATTTTTCTTCATAATACAAAATTATGTTGCTCAAAATGAACAGTCAAAACTTTTGAAAGCTCCACAAACACACACACACACAAACTTTTCTGTTGAAATCGTATTAAAGGACTTTGAATGTTGAGAAATAATTTAATTGGCAACATAATGATAAAACTTTCATTTAAAATCATTTAAAATTGAAAAACAGCATCGGAGCCGAACCTGCTGAAGATTCGATTGAAGCAAAGTGTGATAGATCGAAAAGCTCGAGCAGGACCATTAGCAGCACGACGTCAAGAGCGCTTAATGTTAGTTCATCAACGTCGTTTGCAGAAACAAGTAGCATTAGCGCAAGCGTCAAGTATGTAATCATATTAATGAGAAATCATAAATTTTAATTGAAACAGGCTTTAATTTAATAAGTTATGAATGTTTCAAATGCAATCAATGAACTCGCCTATTCGCTTGCTTTCATTCATTCGTAACTTAAAAAAAATCCAGAAATTCTTATCGTCACTTGAAATAAAATTACGTGATAAGCTTTCAAGACGATGATAATTTCTGTCGGCTTTCAGCTATTTTTACTTTGTTTGCTTTATTTTTGATATCAAAATTTATCGTGAGACTTAAAATCAGATTTCCTTAGTAAGAAACTAATAATAAATCAACTAATCCAAAGAAAGTTTCTGCTTAATTTTTCTCTGCTTTTCATTATCTGTTTTAAAACTTTTTTTAATGAAATTAATGGAAAATTGCAGATTGCAGTAGCAACACGCCAGATTCCGGACCAAACTCACCACCCACATTAGGAAGTCGAGGTTCACCAACAAGTGCGCCAATTCAAGAAGAGAACGAAGATCCACAATATAATGGAGTGAATCGTTCTAACATCAATGACTTGCAGCTTTTCAGTTCGCCATCGATGCCCAACATATCGCTTGGTCGACCACATCTTTCAAATGTTGCTGCAGCAGCAGCGAATCATTTCGTAAAGATTTCAATTTGTAAATTTTTTAAAATATTTTTTTAATGTTTGATAATTTTTGTCAGGTTTTAATGCAACAACTTCGTGCACCTTCACAGTCGATGCTTGCTCATCAATCATCAATTCCACCGCCATATTTAATACCTCAACTTGAGCTGACAGAAGTTCAAGCACAAGCGGCAACTGCTCATTTAAATCACATGCAAGCTGTTGCACAATCAGTTGCTGCTGCTTACAACCATCAAATCAACGAAGCGCAAGCAGCGGCAGCGCAAACACGACTTCAAAAGCCTGGACATCGTCCCTTGGGCCGAACGCAATCAGCCCCATTGCCTTTGGGTCATCCGATGTTGACAGGTACAGCGATCAACATTGGACAAACACATTATGAGAATTCAGAAGCTGAACGTCAAGCATACGAACAACAGTTAATGTTGAAACAGAAAATACGACAAACGGCATTGTCGAGATCGAATACAAGAGAACAGTTGAAGGAAGAAGAGCCAGGTGAAGTAATTGATTTGACTGATAAGAAACAACCACCACGAACAGTTATAACAAATAGTGTTATCACAAGCACATCTCAGTCGATTCCACATACAGCCGATGAAAGAGTTCGCAGTGAATATTTACAAAAGCAACGGGAAATTCTCTTGCGTCAAACGATGCAACTGCCATCTGGAGGATCAATTGAAGATCCTTACACGAGAACCCCTCTACTCCGTCCATTATCGAGGACACTTTCAAGTCCATTGGTACATGTTGGTCATCCAGGACTCACTACTGGAATTGTTACAAGCGGCTCAGCAACTTCACTTCATTCTGATACCGGACAACAACAAATAATACTCAACAATAGTGATTCGCTTCCACCTCCCGTGAATCTCTCCATGAATCATCATCGAATTTACGAAAATGGCTCACCATTAAATGGTATTAAAACAGGCTTAGCATTCGATAGTATGATGCTTAAACATGCATGTGTGTGTGGTGATAATTCATCACATCCTGAACATAGTGGAAGACTTCAAAGCATTTGGGCTCGTCTTGTTGAGACAAATCTTGCAAGTCGTTGTGATCGTCTTCGATCAAGAAAAGCAACACAAGAAGAACTGCAAGTTGTTCATACTGAAGCTCATGCAATGTTATTTGGAACGAATCAAATAAATCGACAAAAAATTGAAGCATCGCGTGCAAGTTTTGTTCGTTTAGCATGTGGTGGTGTTGGTGTTGATTTAGATACGACATGGAATGAAAATCATACGGCAAGTGCTGCACGAATGGCAGCTGGATGTGTTATTGATTTGGCATTTAAGACAGCAAAAGGTGATAACAAGAATGGATTTGCTGTTGTCAGACCACCAGGACATCACGCTGAATCTGGCCTTGCGATGGGTTTCTGCTTCTTTAATTCAATCGCTGTTGCTGCACGCTTATTACGCTTAAAAATGCCAGAAATTCGTCGAGTTTTGATTGTTGATTGGGTAACTTTTCCTATTCACTACTTTTGTGACATTAATTTAATTAATTTTTCAATAAACAGGATGTTCATCATGGAAATGGAACACAACAAATCTTTTATGACGATCCCAGCGTTCTTTACTTATCAATTCATCGTCATGATGATGGAAACTTCTTTCCAGGCACTGGTGGATCAACTGAATGTGGTACAGGCTCTGGATTGGGTTTTAATGTAAACATCGCATGGTCAGGTGGTTTGACTCCACCATTAGGTGATGCTGAATATCTGGCAGCATTTAGAACGATTGTGGTTCCAATTGCACGAGAGTTCTCACCAGATATTGTGCTTGTGTCAGCTGGATTTGATGCAGCAATGGGTCATCCAGCACCATTAGGTGGTTATGTTGTATCACCAGCATGTTTCGGTCATTTAACAAGAGAATTAATGCAATTGGCTGATGGAAAAGTAAGTTGATTATTTATTTATTTCAACTTTTCTTTATTCATCATCAACTTCTTCCATCAGGTTGTTCTTGCACTCGAAGGTGGCTATGATTTGCCAGCAATCTGTGATTCAGTACAAGAATGCGTTCGAGCTTTACTTGGCGATGAATCAGCGCCAATATCTGATGAAGAATTATCACGTCCACCATGTCCATCAGCGATTGAAACGCTTCAAAAAACAATCGCGATTCAAATGACACATTGGCCTTGTGTGAAGCAACTTGCACATACTGTTGGTTTCTCAGCTGTTCATGCACTTAAGAGTGAACATGAAGAGACGGAAACAGTTACAGCAATGGCTGGACTTTCCATGCAACCACCAAATAGGTTTGTAAACATTTTTATATTATAAAAAACGTTTCGCTATAACAAATAAAAATTTCAGACTCTCAGAACGACTTTCACATGAAGAAGATTCATCTGAGCCAATGGACCAGGATCTAGACGACAAATAAAGCAACTTTGAAGTTGAATAATGACTAACTCGTAGGTACAAAACGTCAATGAAACTTTTTATTAAAAAGTTATTTTAAATAAATTAAATAATCGAGAAAGAGAATCTCGATTCAATTCAACAAATACAGAGATGAAGTCAAAAATAATTTCAATGTAAAAATAAAATAATTAACATGAATCAGGGATTTCAACTTTTCTCCTTTCACTTATTCTAATCTTTTTTTGATGACTAAAAGTAATGAAAATGTTAAATGTTTTTATTTTTTAAATGAAATGACGATAATAAGTAGACAAAAATGAAGATCAGACGACAATTCGTTTGAAAGGAATTTCTAATCAGAGCATTGTGCTTCAAACACACAAAAATGTTTCTTTTTTTTGTGACATGAACTTCGCTTAAGATTCAATATGAGCAAATAGAAATGAATGTTGTTCTGCAGATTCTCAAAATGTTAAATTCTTTCAAAGTTATTTTTAGTCGAAATTTTTGTAGCAACCGAAATCTTTCACATGCAACATTAAGAGAAGCCTAAAAACTCGGCAATTTTGCTCAAAAAGCGTTCTTTGCATACTTTTCATAATGAATGAATAAAAAAGAAAACAAAAATAGTATCTAGTTAGACGAATTGTATCCGAAGTCCCCATGGAAGTGTAGAAACTTATATTCAATGTTGAGCCTTACTGTTTGATGAAAAACCAACGAAATAAATACGCAAATTACATTTTACGGACCTAATCATAAATTTTTTACACGTTCAAACTTCAATGAAGATAGAATGATTCTTAAAGTGTGATTGCCGAGGGTTAGATTGGAAAATTTTAATGCTTTGAAATTGATTGAGATTAATTTTTGAATCGATCAACAATTCATTTTTAATATTGATTAATTTCAAAGCTAATCGCATAAATTGTTGTCATGAGAAACTTTTATTTAACTTGAAATAATAAAAAACACCCTCGCGTCGACTGTAAGATACTTAAAAGAAAACTTATCGAAGTCGGTGGATGAAATTAAAAGAATATTTGATGAAAAGAAATATTTATTCGATGTTCATTGTTCAAGCCACCATAAATACATAAATGAGACATTGTAGGTACAATACAATATTCAAATATGTAATGAAAATTATGCAAGAAATCTATATATTTATTATGGAAATTAATCAGAAAATATGAAAATTTGTTCGTTGTAAAATTTACAAACAAAATGAAATGTTAGACGAAAAATAAAAACACAAAAGAGAAAAATTTTAATGAAAAATGTTTGACGTTTGATTGTCGAACGAATTTTTTAATTGAAAATAAGAAAGAAAAAATGTTTTCAATAAATCACAGACAAAAATGAAAAATCAATTTGAATCAAGGATTATTGTTGAATGGGATGTTTGAAGTTCCACTTTTAAAGCTTTTAAGCATGAAGATGTTAGAAAATCTCTTGTCCAATTTTATACAAAGAAATAATTTCAAAGAATTTTACAGTCAGAAGAAAATATTTATCTAGATAAAAATATTAAAAGTCTGAGATTTAAGAACGACAGATATTGTTTCTTCATTCGCTTGTTTGATATTCCACTAAAAGTTGTTGAAATATTAAACAAGCGAATGTCAATAATGAGATGATAAATATTTGGCATGTCCAATCAAATCTAACGAAACTTTCAATGATAAATATAATAAGGAACAGCAAGAAGTTTAACGAAAAGAAAACAAAAAACTTTTATTTCCTTTCTGCAAGATGGCAAATTCTTAAATTCTTCGCCACAGATACAAACAGATTGTCGTTTTTATTGTTTGCTATGAAAAAAGGAAGAGAATTAATTAATTTGACTATCGACATGGAAATACTACAAAATTAACTTGAAATTATGTGCTGGTCACTATGATTAATATTTAAGTTTTATATTTTAAGTATTCACACGAAGAAGAAAGAAGAAGACGAAAAAGAGAAAAAAAATCCTAAGTTAAGTGTTTTTTATATAATTTTATTCTGTAATTATTTAATTAATTGATTCGCACTACGTATACCCGGTTATGAATTTATTAAGAATTCTTCGAGCGTTTATTAATTAATTTCTTTTATGTTACTTAACTAATATTTGTTTAAACTTTAAAGTTTAAAAAAGAAAATAGCTAAGTTGTTATAAGACAGATAAATTATAATGAAAAGTTGATCTTTTTGGTGCAAACATGTCGTCGTTAGAAATCGTTTCACTTTCAAGTCACATTTATAAATTGTGACGATTGAAAGTATTTTCGATGCCATGGATTTATTGATGGTTTATTTCGTGTCTTATTGGTGACAAATTGTTAAATGTTGAATTTATTATCTAACTGTTTTTAATGGAGATAAAATAGAATAAACACGTCTCTCTCTCTCTCACTCACAGAATAATTTTAATTCTTCTTGTTTTTCATTCTTTTCTTTAAGAAAGAATATCTTTAAAGTTTAAACACAGTCAGTCACACACTCATATAAACCTGAGCACACCAGAAAGATAAGAATTAATTTACATTTATTGAGCTTGATCTGTCGCTATCAAAAAATTGAATTTAATGTCCCGGAGACAGAAACCAAAAAAAGATAAAAAATAAAAATCTTAATGAAGTAGAAGAAGAAAAATTTTGAAGATTAATCCTGACATCAAGTTGGGCATTCAGAGAGTTTATAACGCATTTAAAACAGAAATTATTTTATTTTTATTGCTCAAAAGAATCTCCTGATAAACAAGCGTGTGTGGGTGAGATTGACGTGGCTCATGTTAAGATTCTAATAGAATTAAAATGAATCACGAAAATCCATCCACGTCTTTAATGAAATCCTTTGATGCGATTCGTTTCTAGTTTTATTTTTCTCTAAATAATATTTTTTATAAAATAAAATCCAAATGCATCGATTATACTTCTAAAAAATAATAAAAATAAGTAAAAATCTACTCCTAAATATTTCCGACATTTAAATAATCGAATCGCACCAAAGACCTGATATTTAAACAAATCCCAAACTTTATTTTCCCTTTTTGTTTTGTTCTTTCAAAGTGAAGAAATGAAAACTAATGAGAAAGAAAAATATTTTAATAATACAACTAATCTATGATTAATGATTAATGAATAAAGAAGCGAAGCAGAAAATTGATAAAAACATTCCTGTAACGACTAATAAGAATAATTAAAAAGATAAATAAAGAAATATCTAAAACATATTTTTTTTTCGTTCTGATTAATAAGAATATTAATATTGAAATTTTTGATGGAAAATTGTACCAACGATGCACAACACGAGATTGTGCAATGAATTTTGATGATAACTTCCTGTTTTTAACAAATAAACACTATCGAGAAAGTTCTTCTCATTCTTATTTTTCTTTCTTAAAAACTATGACGAAATCAGACGACAAATTGTCATACTCGAGAAGAAACTCTTAAAAATTTATAAAACAATTACATCTGATTTAACATACGAATGAAGATGAAGTAAAAATCTTTTGATTGTAGCTTTGTTTGTGACACAAATGGAAGATAAAAATATTTTTAAACAAGAATTTGAATGATCATAATAAAAACTATATAAAAAATTTCAAATTTCTTTGATTTTCCTTTTCAGATCTGAAGTTTTCCTAGAAGAATTATTCATCAAAACATTTCTTTTTTCTATTATTATTTATTTAATTCACAAATTCCATAAATTTACAATCTAAATCATTAAAAGTTTCTAGTTGTTGGATGTTCTATGTGGTAATCTTTTCTCTCAATAAGTTTCTCACCAATCAGTTTAAATGTGTGTTCACCTGAATAATAATCACCACCGTCGATATTTCTTGCAATGTTCAAAACTTTCTCTGAAGATTCGATGCAGAAATAGTTTGCAAGATGAATCTCTTGATCAGCATTTCTTAAACCAATGCAGTAAGATCTTGAAGCGCGTGCAATTGAAGCAAACATTGCGTAGCAGAGTGTTGCAGCTTCACCGATTTTGTTAACTTCCACTGTATGCTCAACGATGAGACTACCATGACGACCTAAAAGAATGTCGACAGCATCACCAAGACGACTTATTGAAGCTTCTACAGCTACTCCAGCAGTAACAAGCGAGGGATGAACAAAATGTTCAAATTTGTATTTCAATTTTGGATGTTCAATTGAAGATTCGCCAAGATATCGAGAGAACATAAATCCAGGATTAGCGAATGGATTTCTTTGCTTTTTCACGTCTTCATTCAAGTAAACGCCAGCATATTGTAAACCTGACATTGCCAAAAAATGTCGAATTCCATCCAATGTTTCAGCACTTGCAGCAATTTGACTTGCATCACGTAACAATTTTTCAAATTCAAATGTTTTAATGACAGCTTCTGGTCCAACAACATGCAAAGGACGAACTATGAAGTCAGTCATGGTCTCAATTGCGTATGCTTGAACCATCGCTGATTCAACGTCAACATTTTGATCTTCATAAATGTCCATCAAACCAGTCGTCATGTAAATCATACTTTCAAGTGCATAACATCGACTTGCAAGCATTCCAATTTGTTCCTTCACTGTGTGAATATCTTTCATTTGAATCTTGTTAATGTGAGTTTTGATGCTATGCTGTGAAAGATGTTTAATCATCGGCTTCATAACACCAGCCATTGCTTGAACTCCTTTATCAAGACGTAAGTAACTCATTAATGTAGGAATTATTCGTTGATCTTGAACATCTTTTTCAACAAGGAAAGCAGCTTAAAAGAAGAAATTTAAATTATGATTTGTTATGAGATTCATGCAAATGACAAGTAAACTTACAATCAGGAATTTCCACATCTTGAAATGTTACTGTGACTTGACTTAAAGTTTTCTCATCAAATCCAAGAGTTTCATCAGGTCTAGAAATTGTAATTCCAGGTGTATTACCTTCAATGACACATACCCGAATTGATTCTTCATAATCGCCGATGAAATTTTTTGATTCTGTTGATACAAAAACAAGAAAGAGCGACGAATCCTTATCTGTTGGTGACATTACGATGAATGATTTCTCCCCGTTGACCATCCAAACTTCTTTTGAGTCTTTGTATGTTGCTCTGCACATCATCAAATGCTTGTTATTTTTGAAAGATGTTTTCTCGAATAAACATGGAGTACCGAAAAGTTCACCGGAATCTAATCTCGGAAGCAAATCACTTTTCTGATTTTCATTTGCAAAGTCACTCAAGATCCTGTAAACTTGATGATGATTTCTTAAGAAAGTACTGTAACTAAGGAACTTCGCTTCAGGTTCACTAACACTGTAGCAAGCTTCCGTAAAGAGCATTGAATTGCTACGAAATGCGCCGATCTCTTTGAGTTTTGCTAAATTGTTGACATTGTCAGGATTTGAAAAAACATTTGTTTCCAGAAAATCTTCGTAGAATTTTTTACGTTGATTTACTATATCGAGATAATCATTTTCATAAAGAACTTCCGGATAAGGAATCAGTTCAGTGTCAATTTTTCCAAGAAAGAAATTTTTCACTAAAGGCAATCTTGTAGGTTTTTTGCTAATAGATTTGATGGCATCATCTTTATCTTGTACTTTAACAACTTCACCACCTTGCTGACTCTTTGATAATGCAGAGATGTTACGAGAAATACTACTTAATCTCGATTTCGAAGCATTAAATAACTTTAACATTATTTTGTTTTGATAAATGATCCCGGTTAAGTTGCAATGCGATTCATTTTATTAGAACCGGCTCAAAATATTCAAATTTTATTTATAAAAAATAACTGTTAAGTGTAAGCTTGCGAATTTATTTGATTTTAATGATTATTTATAAAGAACTTAATGATAGCACGTGAAGTTCTTGATTACTTTATTTATTTATTGCATGATTGCTAAAACTTTGTTGAAAATTCTCTTAATTTTTCTAATTTAAAATTCGTTCAAAAATAGGTACCTACATAAATATGAACAGAATTTGTTTCGACGATATTTTGAGCCGATGAGCTTTAATGATTTACTTACATTCTGACTCGCCTTAATGAGTTGGAAATTTATATCTTAGAATGAGGTTCGTCAGCCTCTAAAAGTCTGAAAGTTATACCTAATTTAAATATAAAACCTTACATTATAAATGCAAGTGTCAATTCATTTTTACAAATATTTTATTATCAAACAGCTGTCAATTTTAAAATAATATGAACAACAAACAATCAGAATTTCCTTCCTTTAGCTATTAATTAAAACTGATAAATTGAATTTTAGCATTATGAAAAAAATTATGAAATTCTAATTCATCTTTCGATGTAAAGGCTTTGCCACAATGACATGAGAAAGAAGGTGCTGCGAGTTCGCATTTGTGAATTTCCATGAGAAATGGATGCAGAAAAGACGAATTACATAAACGACAAGCTTTTTCATTTATCATTGCTTTATCACTTCCATTTTCTGTGAATTAATTTAGTTTTAAATAAATTTAATAACCATTTTCCCTTATCTATATTCACCTTTAATTTTATTCTGAAGTTCACTGACGCGATTATTATTTTTCTTAATATTTCCATCATTACTCAATAAAAGCGATGACAAGTGTCTTTTATTAGTTTTAAGCGCTTGTTTATGCTTTACTGCTTTGATATGAATGAGACGTTGTTTATGTCTTCTTAAATTTTTTCTTGAAGAAAAATTTGTTTCACACACTCTACAATGAAATGTTTCTTTCTCTGAATCATCCTCGTGCATTAACTCTAACAGTTCGTCCGCAACAACTTCTGGCGTTAGTTTTGACATTCAACTTTTAGAATCTACCTAGATTAAAATTAAATAAATTTAACTTTTCAAAAGACGGGAACACTTTTGGCTTCTTGTTTACGTTTGAAGCGGTTCGAAAAGAAATTCAAAATTACAAAAGCCGTTGAAGAGAACGCTTTTGAGGGGCATTAAACGAATGCAGAAAATTTTCTCTGAAACTGAATAATCGACTTTGTAATATCAATAAGAAAAACTCCTAAGTATAATTAATTAAATATGAAAGTTTATTTTTATTAAATTCTTATTAAATTTTACAATTATTCTGAAGCGTCGAGTGACTTCTCACTTCCATTTCCATTTGTATAAACTTCTTCTGTATTGACATCAGTCGACAATTGTTTAAGTTCTTCAACCAATTCTGCATATCTTTGCTGAAGTTGTTTTTCTCTTTCAGTTTGTCTCGTGACATCTTCAGTTAAAGACTATTTGGGAAGTGAAGAGAAAAATAAAATAAATTACAAAGTTATTAAAATAATAATTCAAACTTACTTCAAGTCGCTTTGGAATGGCTGCGGTTTCCATTTTCTCGAGAAATTGAAAAGTTGAAAGCGACAAATAATTCTGTTCAATTTGCTCAAAAGTATCTTGAAGCTGTTTAATTAAAGAATGAGCTCTAGCTTGATAACCGCCTAACAACGTCTTCAATTTCTTCTCCAATTTGCTACATTTTTTAGCTTCCTTTGCCATATGTTTCCGATTCTGTTCCAATCGCTTCTCAAAGGATTCAATTCGATCTTTTTTGCTTGCAAGATTCGCTCTCGTATAACGATTTTGCGATGGCAAATATAAAACTTGACTTAAACATTCTTCCCAAACTTGTGAATAACTTTCAAGTGACAAATCTCCATGCGCCATTCCAGTTTTGACAATTTGCATTTCCTGTTTTAAAAGCTTCTCCGCTGCTTCACGTTCTACCACTGACACTTCTGAATAAGGATGAGTTTCAAGATAATTTAAGCTTTGCTGCTTCTTCTGAGGTGGAATATTAACACCTGGTAGTGCCACCGGATCATTATAAGCGTCATAATGCAACATTTTTATCATCTCTTGCTTAATAAGTTCTTCAGCTTTCTGTAAATCATTCAATCCTTGCATCTCATTTGATGGCCGAAGAACACTCGAATTAATTTCCAAGGGTCGCGGTAAATCACGTTGAATGACTTGTGATCTCAACAACATTTCCTTACGTAATCGTTCTTTCTCAGCTTCAACACGTTTTGCATCGATTTCCGCTTGATCTTCAATAGAAATTGTTGCTGATTCCATTGGTTCTTCGTCTTCCTCATCTTCTGGAACGACAATCTCGTAGTCATTCTTTGGAGTTGGTAAAGATGACAATCCTTCTCGTAATGATGATTTCGCTTGTCGTTGATAATGTTTGTAAGCTGCTGGAGTTTCTGTCACACCCAAAGAATCTTCAGGATTGATATTTAATTTGTCACGAACATGAACTGGTGTGAAACTCGCCCCACCACCACCTCGTACACTGCTATTTGCTGGCACAAGAGCTGATGAAGCTGGAGTTGCAAATCCACTAGGTGTTGCACCGCCATCACCTCGAGCTGAACGGAATGGAGTTGCAATGACCGTGTTTGGTGTTGCAACTGCAAGAGATTGTGGCAAAGATCCACTGAAATCAGTTTGTGTCAAAGGAGTGTTGACTCCACCTTTCAACGGTGTTTCTGTGTGCACAAGAGCCATGACATTCTGCGCTTCTTGCATGATCCGATCTGTCAACGGTGCTGGCGTCCGTGGTGTTGCTGCAATTTGTGGAGTGATGCTGTAATCAGCTAGTAAAGCATCAGTGGTTTCAATTCCACTCTCTGAAGCAACTTCCTTTGCCATTTCACTTGCACGACCTAATTTGACAACTTGCTGAAGTTCAACGTCAGAAATTTGTGGTTCTGGTAGAACTAACTTTGAACGTTTTCGTTCTGGTTCAAGATTCTGTAACATCGCCATTGGAGCGTCGTTTTCCTTCTTCTTAAGCTTTTCTTTATCTTTCTTCCTCTCACGAGCTTCCTTTTCTGATCGCAATTCACCATCAAGATTCTGTTGTCGAAGTTTTGAGAAATCAGCAGCAATTGGCACAACAAATTCTTCACTTGTGTCGTAGAATCCTCGAGCTGGTTGCTTTTCAAAAGGAATTTCTGCATTGTAATCGATGCCTTTGATTTTACGTTTGCGATTTCCAACGCCAATTCCTGCTGCTCGCAATTCACGACGTTTCTGCAATGCAGCTAAACGACGAGCTTCTTCTAATTGCTTCTCACGAGCTTTACGCTTCGCTTTCTTTCCTTGAGTGTTAGCTAAACGAGCTCGAGCTTCTGACAACATTTCCAATTCATCTTCGTCCATATCTTTGGGATCAGGTCGTGCAGGTTTCGTTTCAGGATTAGGATCAATCTCTCCGGGCTTCAACTTCCGAGGATCGTCAAGATTTTCTTCACCTTCTTCTTTTCTTTGTGCTTGATCCAACAGAAATTCATAACGTTCAAGACATTGAGCTGCTGTTCTTCCGATAATCGGTGCAATTGTTCTCCATTGTGTTGGCATAAGCTTAGCTAAATGTAGAAGCTTTTCATCCTCTTCACGAGACCATTCAGTCTTCTTGATTGAAGGATCCAACCATTCATACCATCTTGCCTTACATTGCTTGGCACTTTTCCGGTGAAGTAAAGAAGCAATTCGTGACCATTGGTTTTTACCATATTTCATGACGGCAGCTTTGAGGATTTCATCCTAACATGAGAAAACAAAGATAATTATTGCAAAACAGTGTCTTAAAACATGATTATTGGAAACGTTTAAAATTTTTCGAAAACTTACTTCAGTGTTACGCCACACGCCTCCTTTTATCATAATCCGAGGCATTGTTAAATTTTTAAAAGAATACTTGTCTTTAAGTTATATTATTTGATCGTTTTCACTTGTTATTTTTTATTCGGAAGAAAATATTAAAACTGGGGCCGCGAGACAATTTAAAGGGGCTGGCAACTTTTAGCATCCTACACAATTTTTGCATCTTTCACTCTCATTTTTGGCGTCAATGATTCACTCATTCTTTTATTTCCTCTCGTTTTCAAAATAAAACATAAAATCAAGAATAATAAGTTAAGCTATTTAGAAACTTCGAAAGAAAATTAAAATTACATCATGACAATTGCAGAGTTTTTTGGCTGTGCTTTTTTAGCCTTCGGAATGCCACTTGCAATGTTTATCTTCACAATATCTGATTCTCCAATTAAAATAATTCTGTTGATATTTTCATCATTTCTATGGCTTTTAGCTTTATTATTGTCATCATTTATATGGTATATAATAGTTCCATTAAGAGGATTCCTATTTTTCGGTGTGATAGTTTCCGTTTTTATTCAGGTAAATTAAAAACATTTTAAAGTTTATTTTCTTGTCTGATGTTTTATTTCTATTCATCAGGAGGGCTTTAGATATGCAGTTTATAAGCTTTTGGATAAGACAAGTACTGGTTTGGAGGAGTTAGCCGGAGATAGTTTAGTTACACATAATAAACCAGTGCTAGCTTATGTATCAGGTTTAGGATTTGGTCTCATATCGGGGGTGAGATTTATTTTAAATGGTTAAATTAAAAATGGTTTATTCATTAATTTTTGTTGTAGCTTTTCCAAAGCGTAAATATTCTTGCCGATGCTGTTGGACCTGGTACTATGGGACTTAAGAGTGGTTCAGACATCTTCTTCATCACAAGTGCAACACTTGCACTTTGTATCATTCTTCTTCACACATTTTGGAGCGTAATCTTTTTTGATGGAATCCAAAACCGCAACAATATCCACTTAGCATACGTTGTTATCAGTCATTTACTGTTCTCCTGTTTTACATTGCTGAATGGAAATGAACTTTATGCTGTAACCTTAACTGCAAGCATTGCGAATGTTCTTCTGACAATGTCTTTAGCATTTAGAGTCGTAGGAGGATCGCTCATAAAATTTAAACGTTTTATTACATGTCAGCAATAATTATAAACAGGAAAATAATTAATTGTTAATCATAGACTTATTGCTATTAATAACGACTTTTATAACGCTATTATAAATTTATTAATTATCAAGGAAAATAAATAAAATCTTCAATCATACTTAAATTTATTGTTAATTGAAGTTTCAAAAGCATTTTGCAATTTTTTCTACCCCTCACAAAGATGCGAACATTTGGAAACTACCATGAAAGCTCGTCACATGACGGACATTCTAAACATTATCAAAAGAATTAATTTATATCTTTATTTGTTGATGAACACAAGACTTATTTTAAACATTTCAATACACTGAAATTTAATTTAAACATTTTCAGCACAATTATCACTAGTTTTCCACTGAAAATCTGATTTCACTCGTATGCGTCATGGACCGACTTTACATTTTATAACCTGAACGAATTCCATTGAATTATTTTTTATTTTTGTTGAATAATTTAAGTTTTCTCTCATTCGCTGAGCTTTTAAAGACTTGTTCCATGAAAAGTTTAAGTTACTTAAGTCACGGTTTGATGTGTTAAGTTTAAATAAGAGTTTTTATCGCGTGAAATGTCGAAAAATAAAATTATTCATAAGTCATCAGCAAATGCAGGAATTATTGAGATAAAATCAAAGGTAATTAGTGGCAAAAGATTCATTCATATGTGTTTGAATGTTCTACATACTTTGTTGATTTTCGCAGTTTGATGCTGAATTCCGGCGATGGTCAATAAAGAGAAACGAGACAACACATACCTTCGATGACTTCCAGAATTCAATTGAGCACTTACACAAGCTCAACGGCTTAGCTTTCCTAATCTCATACATTGATCCCCGTGATAACGACTTACTACCGATCAATAATGACGATAATTTCCATCGTGCACTAACAACAGCTCGACCACTGCTTCGTCTAATCATTCAAAAGAAAGGAGACAGTTTTGAGGACACGATGGGATATGGAACCATGAGACCGAAAAATCTCATCAGTAGCTTGTTAGGACAAACGCCTGTGAAGGCAAAAACACTCGCTATCTCAAATCCACATGATTTTCGTCAGGTGAGTAAAATTAAAGAAACTTTTTGATGATTCATCACACAAACATTTCTTCATACATTCAAACAATGAATGCAACAGGTCTCACAAATCATTGATGTTGACATTGTCCCGGAAACATGCCGACGCGTTCGATTACTGAAGCATGGAAGTGATAAGCCGTTGGGATTTTATATTCGTGATGGAACGTCAGTGAAAGTGACTGCAAATGGAATTGAGAAACAACCGGGGATATTCATATCAAGACTTGTACCAGGGGGATTAGCTGAATCCACGGGTTTGTTGGCAGTAAATGATGAAGTGTTAGAAGTTAATGGAATTGAAGTCCATGGAAAGACTTTAGATCAAGTCACCGACATGATGGTAGCTAACAGTTCAAACTTGATAATCACCGTAAAGCCAGCAAATCAACGAACGCTCGCAACACCACGACGTGGATCCTTCTCAAGAAATAGCCAGTTATCGTCAGGATCTCAACATACGAACAATACAAACACATCGGATGAGAACGATAACGATGAACAAGACGAGGTCGTTGATTTAACGACAGGAATGAATCTTGAAGACAATAATAGTCTCGTTGTGAATCAAAACGGCGTTTTGCATTTGTAATTAGACGGTGACGTGAGTGATGGTGAAAGAAAGCAAAGCAGTGTCACATTATCTTTATGTTTATTGCACCTACATACACAAAAATCATATACACACACCCACAAACTTAAAAGTATTTAATTAAAATGATTTCGACTGGATGAAAACTTTTACTTTGTTAAAAGTTTTATGACTTAATTAAAGTATTAAAGAAAGAAATTACCTCTGGAGATTCAAGAAATATTTTAAGAAATGAACGTAAAGTGAAAAGTACGAAAGAAAAACGAAAATTCCAGAGATGATGCAATTTACTTAAAACATTCTGAAGATGATTCTGCAATGCAATAAAAACGGCGACAACGATTTTGAATTTTGTATGGAAAGTCAATTTTGAATTTCAAATTTTGAAGTTGATTTTGTCATACAAAAGATTCAAATTGAGCAACAACGTTCTTTAAGCATTGTAACGTCATTCTGATATCTTTTAATTTAATATAGATACATTCCTTTTACTTAATTATTGTCGAGGTTGAGCAGTTGCAAATGATGCTGAGAATTCTTTTCCATCTGCTCAACATTTTAATCATAATTTCGAATAAATAATTATTTTCTTTTGTATTCGTTAATCATAAGGCATCGCCTGATTATTTGTAAAATTATTTCCCTTTACAATGTACTTAAATCAGGTCTTTTGTTTACTTAAATTCATCTTGCTCAAAAATGATACAATCAACAAGAAGAAAAAAAAATTGGTAATGATTTCTTAATTGAGGCCTTTGATTGAATTGAGATTGATAAAATGTCAACTCTAATTCATCATAAAAAAAGTTGTTAATTATCGTGTCTTTAAAAACATTTCTTCATTTCATTCCGTGATTATAAAGAAAAAATATCATTCCATTGTTTGATTTGAATAATGAATTAAACAACACAAATCTACTAAATAAGCACCTAACAATCACATCGTTTCCGTCCCTAACATGGCTGGCTTTTAAATACTTACATGGCAAAAAAATATTAACACCGAAATAGGGCCTGAATATCTACTTAATTAAGGGAAATTCTAAATTAGGAGAAAGTTAATTAAGCATCGTCTTCCAGCAGCTATTTACTCAAAGAAACAAAATTTATTATTCCACATTCACGACAATTGATCATTTTTCTGACAACCGGGGATCAATTTCGAGCCCTGTTCCTAACCCAACGAGCTTGAATCGCTTCCTTCCAATTTTCTATCATATCACCCACAAGTCCATTTGGTTTTTCTTTCATAACTTAAATTGATATTTTAAGGTGACAAACGTTTGTATTATTTTATTAATGATAATAAAGTTTCTAGACGTTAAATTATAATAAAAATTGTTAATTGTTTGAATTAATTGAAGATTTCAGTAGCAACATTGAGATGTCTGTCGCTGATTGTTTCTTATCAGCAATTCTCGAGCCAAATTGAAGTGCACGTTTTCGTAATGATGAGCAGTTTGTGAGTCCAAGTTTGTAAGCGCAAAGTCTCAGCAGCAATTTGTCGCCGACACCTTCAACTAATGCTGGATAACACCTTTGTAATGGTTGTAATTGTTGAACAAAATTAACAAACTTTTCCTCGATGAATGGAGCTCTTGACGTTATTCCATTGTCGCCAATAACTCGATCATCTCGAGCTAAATTTCTTGATGGTAAACGAGCCCAATCCAGATCCAATTCTTCCTTCAATAAATCTCGATTTTCAGTGCTTCTCTTGAAAGCATTTCGATGTCTTGTATATCCACCAAATAATTCATCAGCTCCAGATCCGATAAGAATCACACGACAAGTGCTTTGATAAAGCAAACCGTCACATGTTCCAACACCTCTAGAAGCGAAATAAAGAGCAGCACCGAGTGACTCATCGAGAACATTGGACAATGGAAAAACAAGACTTGAAAGCTTCTTAATATTGTCGCCAAGTTCATCTCTTGTGACATTAATTTCAATAAAGTTCCATCTTCGATTTGGTGCTAATTTCCTCAGTTCTTTAATTGTTTCCAATCCCGTTAATCTGTCAGGTACATTCCAATTGATTTCAGTCTTTCTATCAACATGAGAAGCTTTTTCAAAAGCAACATTCATAAGATCAATCGGACGGTTTTTGTCAATAAATTTGTTTGCAAGAAATGACAACAAAGTACAATCAACTCCACCTGAGAAAAGAATTCCAACATGGCAATGACAACATGAAGAAACCTTCTGATACAAACAATCTTTACATAATTTTGGTGTTTGTTCAACTCTATCTTTCACTGACTTTGAGAGCAGCTCCAGAAATATATCACAAGTTTCATAAATTTCTGGAATCCTGAGAAGATTTTCGAATAAACTTTTGGAATCTGAAAGACTTTTTGTGACTTCATTGAATGAGAATTTTGGTGTCGTCAAAACTTTCTCTTCCTTCCATTTCAATTTGATTTGACGTTGAAGAGATAGAGAAGAATAAAATGTTGTGACAAGTTTTAATTGAGTTTGATGATGTGGATGATTCAGCTCAAAGTAAGGAAATAAATTAATTTCTTTGCTTTTGATGTCATAACAGAAAATTCCAAGTGATGGAAGTTCAATCGCTTCAAATGCATCTTCGAATGGACTCATAACACTTGAGAGGAAGCACATGTCACCTTTCTTGCCTAAAATTAAGGAATTTCGTCCCAAAGAATCTCGAGCGAAGTAAAGTTTGGAATTTGACAAGCAAATTATGCTGAATGGACCTTCAATGGTCTCGAACACTTTCAATATCTTATCCTCAGTTTCAGCTTCTTCAAACATTCTGAAAAGAATTTCTGTGTCACTTTGTGATGAATTTTTAATTGTTTCCATGTATAAATCTCCATTGAACATCATGACAACTTTGTTAGACTCCACCGGTTGTGGGAAAAGTTTTTCGCCTTGCTGCCATAAAACTGTTGCATGAAAGTGAATTCCATCTCTAATTATAGCTCGAGAACTGTCAGGACCACGATTATGTAGTAACTTGTCAACACATTTATGGTACTTAAAAGAAATTAAATTAAATTTAAATATTTCTTACGTATAAATAAACTTACAAAGTCAGATGTTTGTCCTTCATCAGCATTAAACATGCAAAATATTCCGCACATTTCCACCACGTGTATTTTTAATTAGAATAATTTAAAAACGAGTTATTTGATCACACACAAACTAAGTTAGACCAAAACAAAATTCTTATAAAATGTAAACAAAGTTTGTTGATGTGAGAAAAACGACACAGCAGCGCTTTCTGTGACTCATAATTGAATTCTTTTGAATTGAAATCGTGAAAGTTGTTAAATCAAAAATGAGTCATTCTGTTATGTAAAGTCTGAAAACCTTTTCTTGGAAACTAATTTATTGTGATGTTATTAAATATTTCGTGTTTAATCTCAAAGGAATATCATTAATGAAGAATAAAATTTTCGCATTTATTTTCTTCGCATACATGCGAAATTTTGAATTTTCTCGTGAGGAAATTTCAAGACTCAAATGAGTGAATTAAAGACGAAACATTTTATTAAATTTATAGAAGAATATCCAAAGTTAATTAAATTAATGTTTGCAATTCATGCTTTGGATTAGAATACTTCACTTTCCTCCAATGAACTGCATCAAATTGCTTCAAATATATGCAAAAGTTACGATAATTATGATAAAGATTTGAGTTCTTTTCGAATTCAAATGAATTCCACATAGGATCATTGATTATTCGACGATGTATCGTTGCTGGGAAAGGATCTTGATCTCCATCACCGTCATGTTGAGCATTTCTAAGTGAAATCAAGGAAATTGCGTCATCAATCATTGCTTGGATTTCTTTCATTTTAAAAATGTGTTCAAACTCTTTCGGATATTTCTTTAGTTCTACAAGCTGCCATGATTGAATGAGTTCGAAGCGAACACATTTCATGAGATGTGAAAGAGAACTTTTGCGTGAAGGCCACTCATGTTGTGACCAACGAATAACTGCGAAAAGAATATCAAGTTCGGAATTGACTCCCAATCTATTCGATTGAAGGAGTTGCGTCACTTCTTCTTCTGTCAATTGCAAATATTCCCACGAAGCAACAAATGTCAGGAAGATTTTAGAAATTTTCTTCATCATGAATCCTTGCAACGTCTTCTCGTTGATTTCTTTCGCTTCTAAATAAATCGATAAAGCTTCTCGTTCTCCAATCACATTCTCATCGATGAAGCACATGATTTGACTCAAAAGTTCTTTAATTTCAAGAAATTTTGCTGCTTTGAATATCCTTGCGAAATGTAATCGAGGAATTTCACTCTCGTCTGCCAACATCCATGCATAAATGACATTGAAAGCTTCTGGTGTGACTTTATCTTCTGGCAATTCAATAGTTCCAGACTTCAAGCTTTTCTCCGACTTTTGAAAATATTCCGAATAACTTTTCAACACGTTCATATGACATTCAAATGACTCCGATCCAATGACAATGTTTAAGTCGCAATGTTCTCTTGATTTCAAGATTTTCTCGATGATCTCATAAACCTGTGGAAAATTCGCAGAACTTTCTTCTTCATTAAATTTCTTTGGAACGATTCCCATAGCTGACATCGATCTCAAGAACACTTCTTGTTGAGTTGCTTCATCTGACGATTCTTTTTGACATTTTTTTAATTTTGAATTAAACTTCTTTGACATTTCTTTCTTTAGAAAATATATTTGAATGCGGCTATTTGTGAATAAATGAAGTTAGAAAATAAATTTCAGAGTCGAAGTTTACCGAGACTCGATGACCAAGTTTCGAAAATTAAATAAATTTCCAACAACTTCTTTTAAACTTTTCTTTTTATTAATTAATTTTCATTTCTCTCTTTTTTTCTCAGTATTAAATAAAACAGATTAGAAGAAGATTCTTCCACATAATTTTAAGAGCTACAAACTTGAGTAAGAATAAAAAAATTCACATTTAAAATAGAAATTAAAAAATGCAGAAAATTTGATTTTAAATTTTTGAATTTCTCAAAAAATTGCCTTTTCTTAATTGAAGGAACGAAAGACAAAAAAATAATAAAAACAAATCTCTCAATACTCTAAGATCATTGAAACTTTCTTATTAATATAATTATTACTTTCATTATATCTGAAAAATATATTTTTCTTTCATCTTTCGGTTGCTTAGAGCAATTGAAAGTTTTAATTAACTTTCGTTGTTTGCTTTTGCTTATTTTCCCTCTCACGTCGACGAAGCTTCTTCCTGCGACGATCTTTTGCATTCATTTCATTCTTAATCATCAGATAAGTTTTCTTGAGCTCTTGAATCTTTTTCACTAAGATGTTGATGCGTTGATTACTGGACAGGTTTGGATCTGACATTAAAAAGAAGATAATTAATTAAAAGAATTAAAGAAACCGTCAAAAATATTCACCAAGTTCAACCAAAAAGTTAAATTGCGTCTTCCCTGAACTTGTTCCAGTAGCAGCTTGAATTTCACCAGATTGAGATCGCGTGGGAGTGAAAGCATTGACATCCGAATTATCATTACTGTCCGAATCTAATTAAACGACAAATTATTAAAATTCTGTTAAGTCTTATAAGATTCTGATTCTCACCATTTCCTTGCAAATTTCCACGAACATTTGCAACATTCCGTGGTTGAGGTCGTCGTCGTTTCTGTTGAATATCGCATTCAACTTTCATCGTTCGCTTTCTCTTCTTTGAACAACTTGCATCTGCTTTAACTAATAAAATGATTAAATAGTCTTCAACTTCTTGAATAATTAAAATTATTTACCATTCTTTTCATTCTCCGATTGATCATCATTTGAATCTCTTGGTGAATTGTCTGAATTGTTGTTTGTGTTGTTGCCACTACTCGTTGCACTTCCACGATCAGCTTTCAGCTTGTCACGTAAAATATCACCAGTCGCCGACTCACCAACAACATCCGTGTCAATGTCCATTGGAATCTGTTTAAGATTTGTTTGATGTGATGCTGATGACTGATATTGTTGATGGAGAAAAGCGGTCGTGATGCCGCCAGGATATTTCATATAATTCGATGATGATTGTGATGGCATTGTTGGTGGATGAACGAAACCCCCTGATGATGACGATGGACTTCTTCCAATCTCACTTAATGGGTCTTTCACTTGAACTGGAGCTGGTGAACCTGGAATTGTCTCTTCACATAGCAGCAATGACATCGTCTCACTTTGCTGCTCTCCCGACGATGATTCCGACTTCTTTCCATCTTCGTCCTTTCCACTTGAGTGCTTGTAATGAATGTCATCTTGCATCATGATCGATTCCAAAACTCCCATCTGAGTCTTTCTCTTCTCACCACCAGTCATTGCGTCAATCGCCATCATTTCATCTTCAATCACAAGTCGTGGATCAGAATCAGTGTCAGAGTCATCAGCTTGCTTCTTAATGTTACTTTCACTTGCAGATATGTCAAGACCACGAATTGGCGTTGCTGATCTTTGCACAGCTGATTCAAGCTTTTGAATTGTTCCTTGCAATTGAACATTTCCGCCTCTGATCTTCTCATCGACAACTTTCATTTCTGGTGACACAAGTAGCGGCTTCTTTCCACCAATATTTCCCAGCGGCGGTGACTTAGCTTTGAATGTATAAGGATCAACTTTTATTTCTTCTTTCTTCATCACAACTTCTGTCATTGCTGATGTTGTTGTTAATGACGATGAGTTTGTTGATGTGTTCAGATTCATCGATGCTGATTCTTCTTCCTTTTTATTCATTGATTTTAATAATTTATCAACAATTGAAGTTGATTTTTCAGCTTTCGGAAGAAGATCATACGACGGCTCTAAAATCTTCTTAAATGCTTCAAGCTCAGGCTTTTCATCATCATTTGTCGGCACCATAATTGGCTTCAGCAATTCGTGTTGATGTTCAAGATCTTGTTGACTACTAAAAAGATTTTTAACAGCACTTCGACTGCCACTTGATGACGGTGGAAATGCTTGCGGCTTTGCAACTGGAAAATCATCCATGACGTGCATATTGAAACTTGGCGATTTTCTTAACACATCAAATGTTGATTCATGTTTCATTCCTTTATTTGTTGTCGTTGATTGAACCACGACGCCTTTCGAACCGTACAATTCTGTCACTGGTGTCCAAGTTGCGTAACTTGATGTCACTGAAGGTTGTTGTGACTGTTGTTGATTGACATTTCCTGGCGTTCGTGTCACAATCATTGACGATGGTTGTTGAACTTTCTCTTCCTTCAATGGCGATTTCTTTCGTTTCTTATTCGACTGAACGATCGATGTTTTAATCATACTTTCAATATCTTCACACATTGCACTTTCTTGAGCTTCCTTTTGTAATAATCTCGCTTGTTTCTTTTGCTGTGCCAACTGTTGTTTCTTTGTAAGACCATCAACTGGTGGATCCTTCTTCGCTGACGATGGCGTTGATGATGGCGGCGTTTTCGTATCTGAAAATTCTTCCGTATCTTTAAACTCATAAACATCACTTTCAGTTGGCTTCTGATCATCTAAAACTGCTTTCAAATCTTTTGATTTTCCTTTTGCAGCTGCTGATGATGATGATGATGATGGCGAATCTTTTGTTAGTGATTTCTCTAATTGACCAAAACGACCAACTTTACCTTCACTAGCAATTCGTTGTTGTGTTAGTTTCTTTTCATGGAAAATGTTCGGCTTTTTGTTTGTGAACATCGCAGAAGCGTCATTCGGTTGTTGTTTCGTGTCACCTTTATCAAAGAAAGTGTCAATTGCTGGTGGATGGTTCTTCAAATCACTCGTCTCACCAATTTCACCAAAGCGAAATGAAGATTTCTTTGCATCAGCAGCTTTTGTTGCTTGCGGAACTTTCTCAGGTCCATTCGATTCGTTGTCACTTGTGTAAGCACTTTTCGAGCTGTTTGGAACATCACTCGGAACTGAATGTGATGAATCAGAGTCACTTGAATGAAACGATGAACGACTTGAATCTCTTTGAATTGTTGGCTTTAATTTTGCTTTAACATCAAATGGCGACTTGCCAGACTTGATTGAAGACTTTGTTGACTTTTCGTCATCTGATTTCGATCCAATTTCACCAGATGCAGCATCTTGTTGTCCTCCTTTCTCACTTGATTTAATATCTTTAATGTTCTTCAATTCCGATCGAATTTCATTCAAATCTGACGACGCTGACTTTTGAATTCCGCCGATTACTTTCGAGTCGTCTTTTTTGTCTTGATCTTTATTGCTGCTTGGCTTCTTTATCGGTTCATCAGACTCTGTCGAGTTATCGTCATTAATTGATGGTCGTCGTGATGATTTATTTGCTGGCGCACCACCACGCGTAATTCTTTTCTGAGTTGGTTTTCCCTTTCCCGAAGTATTCGACAATGGAGTTGTTGAACGTGACGAAGCTGTTGTGTCAGCTCGATTGCGACCTCGTTTTGCATTCTTACTTGTTGGCGTTGTAAGACTCGAACCAGTTGACGGCGTGGAATTCTTTGATGCTGCTGATCCCGATCGCTTTTTCGGCTCGTCTTTCGTCAAGTTCTCTGCGATACTTTCACGATGAATCCACTCGTCATATCGCGCATTCCACCCTTTGTAATGAACACGATAAATTGGTTTCCCTTCTTGTGCACTAATCTCAAGAACTTTCGCTTCGTAATCAGAAGAACCACGATAATAAACTTTCAAACGATCATCAACTTCAATGAGAATATCGTCAGGTATGATTGGCCCTGAATGTGGTGCCTTTGCTGTCACTGTCACTTCCTTCTTGTCAATTATGTCTTCCTTCTTCTTCTTCGCTTCAGGAAATTTCTTCTTCGTCTTCTCTCTTCGTGGAACCAATGATGGAGCTGGCGATGATGACGTTGACGGTTCTTCGTCTTTAGATGTTTGTCTTTCCTTTTCTTTCTCCTTTTCCTTATCTTTTTCCTTCTCTTTTTCCTTTTCTTTCTCCTTTTCTTTTGTGTTCTCCTCAAATTTTTCAACGATTACTTTCACTTTATTGCTTGCTGTCGAAAGTTTTCTTGTTGTTGTTAACTTTGTTGATTCATTCGTGTTTTCTGAATCATCAGCGATACTGCTTGTGCTTGGCTTATCAATTGACTTCTTTGATGATGCTTTTGTCTAAAGAGAGAATAATTAACTAGATTGTTTAATGAAATAAACTTTGACTTACACTTTCTGGTACTTTTGGTGATGCAACCGATCCCGATCGAGTTGAACTACTTCTTGCTTTATCTCTGTTAGTCCTTGGTGGAAGTTCTTCAATTCCTTTGCTTACAGCTTCTTCAAAAGCGAGCAGGAATTTACGATAAGAATGTTTCACAAGCTTAACAATAGCATCAGTGGGCATGAAGCCCAATCTCTTTGCTATCGCCTTCCAGTTGTGAATTTTCGTTACATTTGCATAGCCACCAAGTTTTTCAACTGAATAATAAAGCCGATAAAGGTCAACATCTCGATTTGTGATACTTGGGCCTTTATTTAATGGCGAATTTCGTTTCTCCATGAACTCCAGCAATTGTGCAAAGAATCGATCTTTCACTTCATTTGGCTCGTCGTCTGAACTGTCAGAAAGTTCTTGTTCGCTTAAACTTGCTGAATCGATGAGAACTTCACGATCCCAATGAGTTGGTAAGACGTTCTTATCGAGATATTCTCGCGCAGCATTAACTGCAGTGATGTCTGACTTTTGTGCTGTGTCGTTTGTGAATTCTGTCACTTCTTTCTTGGGTACAGTGTAATAGCGACCATCTTTGAATGATCGAACGAGATATTCAGTTTTAATATGAATTTTAGCTGTTTCTTGAGCTTTAGGAGCTACTACTAGTGCTGGAAAATAACTTTCTTTTGCATTTTTCTTCTTCGTGTCAGTGTTTTCAACGCAAATCACTTTTCCAATCGCATATTCTTCATCTTCGTCTGACCATTCGTCTTGCGTCTTTGATCGTTTACCACCACCGCGATGTTCTGGATGTGTTAATGGTAATTGATCTAAAGTATCGCATGCATTGAAATGTTTTCCACTTTGACGACATAAAGCACTTCTTCTCAATGTTGTGATGTCACCGTCATCAAAGACGACCGTGTATTGTGAGCAATCTTGAATTTTTGTGATTGTTGCTTCCAATGTTTCCTTTTTATCAAGATCACGAACTTCAACTACGTTTCCTATACGTATTTCACCGATAATGTCGTCATCAGACACATTACCTGTTCCTCCTCGTCGATACGCAACCTTAACTTTTATATTTTTCACGATTGTTCTCACTTTTGCTTCACAAAATGCTCCTTTGTACTTTGCACTTACTTGAGTTCCTACAGCCAAGACCACTGGGTCATCTTTTTCTTTTTGAGGTATTCCTTGCTGAAAGAAGATGAAAATTATGATGAAAAAATTTTCATAGCTTCGTTGTTATGAGAAGCATTCGCCATTTTTCAAAATCCTTACCATTTTTGCCAGGAAATAGCTTTCAAAACTTGAATTATCACTTACAAACGCCACGATTACAATATACTGTCACAATCATTGACCGGAATTGAGCTTTCAAATGCTTTCATTCAGCTGTTTCGCTATAAATCACAATTTAACAAATCGTTCTGCACAATTGTTTTCACTTTTAAATCAGGGTTGGGTTACTTTTGTTCCAAGTTACTCACTCACTGGCGGGGGAAAAAATCATAGGAGGGGTGAAAAACTTTTATTCTGCAATTGTACACAAAAGGAAAACAAACATTCTTATAAGAAAAATGTTCTCATTAAATTTTATTCTATTTAATTAAAATTTTTTTTTTTTAATTATCTCATTGATAATGGTGGTAACGTAGCAAAAGTTAAATATCCGCTATGTCCTGGTTGCATCGGAGGTGGAATTGTTGTTAGCACTTTCTTTGTTTTTCCAGGTTGTTTCTTTTGATCTTTTGCAGTTTGAAGAATGTCATCTTCTCTCTTTGTCTTAACGAATTCCAAGTCTATTACAGGAATATGTTTGTCTTTGACAATGTGCTCTGATTGAATAATTTCCATAGTCTGAATTTCAAGAAAACCATTTTTCTCCAACTCTACACATGTTGCTTGTGTTTGTTCAATACAAGGTGAGAAACCACAAAATCTTCCTCCATTTAGTTTTAATGCTTTCACAACATGTCCAATTGCGAGATAAGGAGCTGGAAGATCTAAAAATACGGCATCGGCTACACCGGTCAACTCTTCTGTGAATCCATCGCTACAAACATCACGATGTTGCACAGTAACAAAGTCTCCTAGTCCATGTTTCTTAAACTCTTCTTTCGCTTGTTCCACTCGACTCTCATGAAAATCAAAAGTATATAAATGTCCAGTCTCTTTGATGGCGCGAAGAAAATAATGTGATAAAGATCCGGAGCCAGTTCCTAAAATTAAATAATTATTATTGAATATTATCATGATGTCATTATTTATACATACCTGCTTCAATGATTATTGATCCTGGTTTTGCTTCTAATTGTAAGAGAATCATTGAAATGTCGGGTGTATACAATATTTGTGTTCGGTGTGGTAAATTATTAGTCCACAATTCAGGATTTGGTTGCAACACATAAGCATATCCTCTTGATAATTCTACTTTCCCTCCATATTCTTTGCCGATTAAATTTTCAACCTTCAATGCACCGTAAGTTGTCTGATGTGTGTATTCAACTAAAATTCCATGCTTATTCATGATTTGTTTCTTAACTTCGATTGCATGCATATTATTGATTGAGATGTACAATATCACTATATCTCCTTCAGCAATTATACGCTGAGGTGCTGCAAAACTCATCTTTGATTATCTTTAAAAGCGGGATTTGATTTCTGTAAAAATTTATTTACATAGATGCTTAGGGGGTATAAAGAATTTAACGAAAGAAATTCCAAAGTAGACTTCCACCCCCACTCACAGTAAACATAGTTGCAATCCCTCTTCTTTCTGAAAAATCGCTGGCTCTCATAAAAATTTTCACAAAAGTGGATTTTCAACAGCAAAGATATTTTAAAATGGATGATGAAAATGTCCAGGAAAAAGAACGATTTGCAAGGTAATTAAAGTGACTAAAGAAAGTGTGAAATTTGAAGTGAAAATATCTATTTTTGAAATTTTCCAATGGCGAATAAAAACAAAAGGCACAATTCATGGGTGTTGTCATTGTTAAATGAACTAAAAGTTAAAAAATAGTCAAATGATTCTAAAGTAACTAAAAATGATAGTTTTAAAAGAAAAAATATTAAGTAAGAGGAAGAAATGATAAAATAATGAATTATCATTGTGACGTTACTTACACAATCATCCTGGCCGTAAAAAGTTTCCCAAGAGAATACAAAATAAGTTTTTATTGCATTGAGAAACATGCTGATTTTGTGATATCATATAGTTCTTGTTTTACAACCTTGATGCATAAAGAACTGTAAATTTTTGCATTTGTATGCTTTTCAGTCGAGAAAATCATTGCGAAATTGAGCGGAGACGTCGTAACAAAATGACGGCCTACATTACCGAATTAAGTGACATGGTACCAACATGCAGTGCATTGGCAAGAAAACCTGATAAATTAACCATTTTGAGAATGGCCGTTGCTCATATGAAAGCATTGAGAGGTAAGAATTAAAAATTCAGATCACGTTTCAGAATCTTCTTATCTCAAAGTTAAAATCTAACTTTTTTATTTATTATTCCTTCTTTCTAGGAACGGGGAACACAAACACCGATGGAAGTTATAAACCATCATTCTTAACTGATCAAGAACTTAAACATCTCATATTAGAAGCAGCTGACGGTTTTCTGTTCGTCGTTTCATGTGATACTGGAAGAATTATTTATGTATCAGATTCAGTGACTCCCGTTTTGAATCATTCACAAAACGATTGGTATGGATCGTCTCTCTTCGAAATGGTTCATCCGGAAGATATTGAGAAAGTTCGTGAACAACTTTCAACACAAGAACCACAAAATTCCGGTCGAATTCTCGATCTCAAGACTGGAACTGTCAAGAAAGAAGGTCATCAATCATCGATGAGACTTTGCATGGGTTCACGTCGTGGATTCATTTGTCGAATGAAGATTGGTAATGTTAATCCTGAAAATATGGCCGTTGGACATTTAAATCGATTAAAGCAACGAAATTCTTTGGGACCGTCGCGTGATGGACAAAATTTCGCAGTTGTTCATTGCACTGGTTACATTAAAAATTGGCCACCAACTGGTAAGTTCGCTACTGTATGTGTGTTTGTGTGTTTATGCTTTAAGATTTTCTAACATAACATACGAGGTATAGACGATAATTTACGTTGTTAACAGATATTTTTCCAGGAGTTCAACTTGATCGTCAAAACGAAGACGATATGCATTCATCGCATTGTTGTTTGGTTGCCATTGGAAGACTTCAAGTGACATCAACAGCCAATTCTGCTGATCTCAACGGGGCCAATAATCAATCAGAATTCATTTCTCGACATTCAATGGACGGAAAATTCTCATTTGTTGATCAGCGTGTGATGAATGTTCTCGGCTATGTTCCCACAGAATTATTGGGTAAAAGTTGCTATGACTTCTTTCATCGTGAAGATCAGAATCATATGAAAGAGAATTTTGATCAAGTCTTAAAGCAAAAAGGTCAAATGTTCTCGGTCATGTATCGTTTTCGTGCGAAAAATGGCGAATGGATTTGGCTTCGAACGCAAGCTTATGCATTTTTGAATCCTTACAACGATGAAGTTGAGTACATTGTCTGCACAAATAGTTCAGCAAAGTAAGAAAGAGCTCTTCATAAATTTAATGATTACGATTAAAACTTTCTCTTTTCTTCACAGAACTCTTCATAATGTCGCACCTGATAATGGTCAACTTGAACCAGATCAATCTGTTTACCATCAACCAGCACCAGGACTTGATTACACGATGCAAAATCGACGTGAAACTCAACCGTATAATCCACACGGTAAAAGACAAAACTAATATTAAAAAAATAATTTTAATTGAATTTAAAATTTCATTTAAAGGTTTAATGTCACATATCACAGTTCCACCTCAACAAACACCACAGCCTCAAGCTCCAAACAGCATTCAACAACGACCAAACAGCACACAGAATCCCGTGCCATATAATTATGAGCCGACGCCATCTCCAATTCAGTGAGCTATTGCATTGTAATTAAGTTACAGCTTATTAATTAATTAATTTTTTTAATAGATATGGTTCACCAGGAACACCTGGTTCAATGGCACGAACATCAGCAGGACTACCGAAAGGAAATCAGAATGCATCTCCAACATCGACCGGCTCTCAAGCATGGACAATGCGTCAACAAACACAACCAGAAAGCTATCAATACAGTCAATTAAGTCCATCGCGGTCACCAAGTGGACCAACATACACACAACTCAGCAGTGGAATTAACACACGTCCCTACCATACAGCGACAACTGCACAACAACAAGCACCGCAGCCAGGTAAACAATTCTTGGATTTTAATTCATTCAAATTTATGCAATGTATTTCCAATCAAGGTTATTATGGATGGCCACATGCAACAGACGGTTCTGGTCCAAGTGCAGCACATAACACAACAGTGCCTGCTGGTCAGCATCCACAACAAGGACAAGAACTCTCTGACATGCTTCAAATGCTCGATCAACAAGGCGGCCCAACAACATTCGAAGATCTCAATATTCACATGTTCTCTGGGCAATTTGAGTAAAGGTGAAGAAAGGAAAACGATGCTGAAAGCAATTAAAATTTAAAGATCTGATAAATTTTTCGATATTTTTGGCATTAAGCACAAACAAAAGAAGTAAGAAAAGACAAAAAGAATTTTCTTAAAACGCAATTTCATATTTTAAAAATTTTTTACTTTAAAAATGACAAACATGGCAACTTAAAATAAAATTATTGAAGACATTTTCTTATACGATATCTTAAAATTTTAAGAGTTGAGTAAAGATTAATTAATTAATATTGAATTACTTAGATTATTTAAGATGGTGACATTTGATTAACAATGACATTCTGTAAAAATTCCATTTCAAAAACAAACCGTGTGGCATAGTTAATTAAGTTAATTCATTGCCAAAACTTAATAACATTTTCATGCTTCTTTCACTTTCATTTCACTTAGAAATTTGTTAATTTTGATCTTCAAAAGTATTATCGAGTTCTTCGAATTTAGAAAAAGGAAAAATCATTTTTAAAATATTTTCTATCTCTCTTTCTCTCCCTCATAAATTTATATTAATGCATTAAGAATATCATAATTATGAAACTAGCTGAAAATCTTTTGCAATAGGCTTCAATGAAACGTGAATAAAGAAATCAAATTTATAATTT